TTTAGCACTCAGGCATCTGTGGTGACTTCGGCCCAGGTGTTAGCAAACAGGGCAAGCCTGCCACCTATGGGTGGGGTCGATGTTGACCTATCTGCCCCAGCGGTAGGGACGGCCACCTCCCCCCCCAAAAGGGCCTCTTCCCCTGGGGTTGGAACCTAGGCCTATCCCTAGAGTAGTGTCTATCTGACTGCCTATCTGATCTGGAAAAATAGCTGCTTTATTGAGATTCCTGATCAGACTGACGATAAGGCTGTTTCCGAAAATACGGTGCAGCCTTTTGTTCAGATTTCTTGGTGGGAGTGGGCATGACCTTCTTATTTTTGTCCTCAATGAGGATTGGGTCCAAGAAAGTACCAAAAAGAGACCCCCAGCATACAGCTCTGATGTCAGGTGCCATTTCGCCTTGTTATCAGCTTGCCATCCCTCAGCCACAGGAGACGTCGGGAAGTGACCGAGGATGGCAACGCCTGGGAAAAATACTTCATGGCATTCAGGGTGGCGTCTGCAGCGAATTGTGCAACAGCAACCAGTTTGTTCAGATCCTGGTGGGTACGCACCTCCTCCGACAGAATGTGCTCCTGCATCTGTTGGAGCCAAAGAATAGCCGTGCGACTGAAGAACGACGCTGAGGCTGCAGCCTTAATGGCCCATGCAGAAGACTGGAACATCTTGAAAGAGTCAGCTCCGCCTTCTTGTCATCAGTTTTCAAGTAATCAACCACATCGGTGGACAACACCATGGAGGTGGAGGTCAAAGCCAGCACAGTTAACAACCTCTAAGAATAACTTAGGGGCAGGAATTTCCTCCTTTGCTGCAGGAGGCTCTGAAAAGACTGGGCCCTCCAGCTTCTTCCCTGAAACTCCTTCCTTGGCACCTTCCTTGGTGCTCTCCATCTCACTTAATTGTGCTGTGGCCCTGGCCTTATGCAGGAGGGATTTGAATAAATCAGGGGGAAACAACCCCGAGAATGCTGGCGGATCAGGCTTTGATGTATCCTTATCATCAGACATATCTACTTCCCTCTGAACTTGATCCCCAGCCAAGGAGCCTTCGCTGGCAAGGGAGGGTGAAACCGGCCTGCGCACTCCTGGGAGAGAGGGCCTAGGCTTGGCTTGGGCAGTATCTCCCCCTCAATGGCCTTTGCCACAGGTACGGGACTTGCAATCCCCTGCTGTAATCCAGTCGCAATACCATGTGAAATTGCAGAAGAAATAAACCTTTGAACATTTGCAGGAAGCTGTACCATGTTCCTGAGAAAAGAATCCTCTTCTGTAACTAATTCACAGTCCTCAGGTGAGGTGCCAGAGATGGCCTAATGGGATCCCTTTCCTCCATGGCCACCCTGCATTGGAAAGGATCCCTTAAATAAGGGCCCTGTTCCACGATGGAGGGGGGGAACGTTCCCTGCGAAATCCCTGACATAATCTGGGTAATCCCCCCTGGAAGGAGGCCTAGATACTGATCTGATGGGCGATCTGGACCTCAAGGGAGAACTAGGCCTGCTCCTCTGCTCAGCCCTGGACACTTGTTTCTCCAGGGCCCTATGCCTTCTCTCCTCATCCCTCTGGAGGGCCTTGGAAGGTTTCTCAGCAGCCAGGGTCTTTCGCAGCCTTGCAGAGGCTGTAGGCCTGTACCTGACCCCACTGGAGGGTCCCTCCCAAGGAGACAATGGAGGGGAATCAGGCCTCTCACCATCCACCATTACAACAAGGCCTCCCTGCCCAGGGACAATGTCGGGCTTCTTCAGGCTCAGACCACCCGACCAGTAGCAATCACAGCTTCTCCTTAAAAACTCACAGCCTCTGCGCAAGGTTTTCTGCCTCCAGTAGACCTTTTCGGCTCCTTTTCAAGCCGTGCGGGTGTTGGCAATTCCATGCGGTCCGCCATGTATTCTTTAGCGTCCCGTGCCGCTCTGGAGTCTCCTGACCCGCTCTGGGCCCTCAGGGGCCTGCCGCTGCCACCGCTGTGGAAGGGATTGCCCCCCAGGATGGCAGGGATGAGAGCGAGACTCCAAAGCAGCCTTGGCCTCAGCCCATGCAGTTCACCAGAAAACGAGGCCCAAAATGGCCACCAAATGGTGTCTGGCCTCCAAAGGCCCCACACCAAAGCCCAAAGTCCTTACCAGCGGCCAGGAGCAAGCCACACCCACGGAAGGCTTCCACGAAGCAGATGGAGGCAAGTGGGGAAAGGAAGGGAGGAGAAGGCAGGATGACACTGGATTGTATTTGGAAATTTCAGGAGCCAAAAGCAACTCTTCCTTCTTCGGCCAGAGAGAGTTGAAACTGGGAGCCAGAAGCAAGGAGCACGGAGGCGTGGCTTCAGTTTAACTCTGTCTCGAG